TTTCCCAGAATACTCAGTCATGTTAAAAAATGGTTCAAGCAGATGAAAGAGCAGAGCTGTGGGGAGCTTGCCCGCCTTTGTGTCACCACACTGACTCTGCTTCCTTCCTTCAAGACCCAGATCGATCACTACGTGGGCCTCGCCCGGGAGCAGACCAAGGCGGTTGTTGAAAAGTAAGTCCGTCCGGGGCCACGTCTCACCACGACGTGCCCTTCCCATGACCAAAACCATGGCTGCTTTAAAAGGTCTCTTTTGTATCTTAAATTGACACAGAGTCCCTGGCACGGGCCCCTCCGCCCGTTTGATGGCTTTTCCATATCCTTGGTTGCCCCCCCACGTTTGCCGATTTTCAGATTCCTCAGACTTTTTGTCATTGTGGCAAAACGCAGGCAGCAGCATTGGCCGTTGGAGGTTTTTGCAGCGCAGTGACGTTGCCCACACTCACCGTCATGCGGCCATCACCACTTGCTGTTTCCTGGCTTCTTGGTCACCCCAGACAGGAGCTTGGTCCCCACAAGTAGTAACCCTCCTTTTCTCCTCTCACCCACCCTGCTTCCAGTAACACACTGGGTCTATATGATCACATTTATCAGTGTTGAGCCAGTATTAACATTTAAATCAGATAATATATTGATAGATATTTTGATGACTTCCTCTATAATCAAGGAACTTTTTTTTCCAATATTTTAATTATTTAGTGTGAGTGCTTAAGAACTTAGAATGAAAATGTGAATATTTTCAATGTTTTCTTCAAGAAACAAAAACATCCCAAGCACTTGAACCCCCTGTGCCCCTCGAGGCCCTTTCACAGCCCAGATCTTGGTGCTCTTCCTGCTTTATCAGGAGGCCGCCGTGAGCACGCCAGGCTCCTGACTGCTTCCTTTGCTTTCCAAGGTATATGGTTCGATCAAAAGTCAGCCAAGGTCTTAGCGTAATTCTGTGTCTGGTTGCCGTTAAGCTGTGACAGATGAAGATGGGTGGCGCTGAGCTTAATCCAGTGCCTTGATCATCGTTCGTCGACTCTGATGCCCTTCTTGGGGAGAGTACAGAATTGATGCTTTGACAGTCCCTTAGGTGTGGGAATGGCCTCAGTGGTGCCTAACAGTGGTTCTGGAACACCTCTACCAGAGTCAAGAGCAGTTGGTGTTCTGTGAGAGGCTAAGAACTCTTGCCAGTTTTTTTGGTTGAGAGAACCAGGAACGAGTTGGCCTGTGATATTCATACATTGCCGCAACCCCTGACTCCTGGCTCCTTTGTGGCACCAGTGCTTGGCCTGGCCTTCCTTGATCTGTGTGTCACAGAGACCGAGATGAGAAGCGACATCTGCTGCTGCCAGTGGGGAGGTTCCGCCGTGAAGAGGACAGGCCGCAGCGGGGCCGGGGGTCGCTCTTGGTGGGCCCTGCAGCCTGGTCCCTAGCCACGCTCAGCCCGGGCTGCTTTTCAGCCAGAGGAAGCCTGTGAGGATGGGGCTTTCCTCCGTTGCTCTTGCAGGTCCAGGTCTGAGTCCTAGTGTCATGGTTCAAACAAAAACCGAACAAACCAAACGCTTACGTTGTCACCTTCATTTTTGTCTTTTTCTGTTCTTTATAGGATCCAAGCAAAACTCCCTGGAATCGCCAAAAAAAAGGCAGAATAAGCGTGTGGAAGCCAGCAATGCGTCAGTTACTAAAGCACCGCGTAATAGTTGTAACATTGTCCTTGTACCTGTGCCGTGAAGGAGCGCGCTCGGTGCCGGCTCGGGCCTGCGTTCAGTCCAAGCTGCGTTTCTCATGTGGTGTTTTCTTCCCTCCTTTCCCTCCACCCCTCAGTATCAAGCGCAGGAATCGCTGGAGTGAAAACAGATTGTAGAACCCAGAATAAGGAGGCGGGTTGATAGGCTGAGGCGGTATCTGTGGCAGTGGGGGGCTGCCGCCTCACCTGTCTGAAAGGGGATCTAGTGAAGGCGGAGAAGTGGAAGTTAAAGCACGTAACTCTTGGGTTCTGCTCTCCGGTTTTAAAGTCTAAAGTTTTCCATCATAGTTTTTCCCTTATTTTTAAGTTAAGAAATGGTTAATTTATGAAGAAATTATTTGGGGACAGGAGTGGGATTCCTGCCGGCGGGTGGGTGGAGGTTTTTGGAATCCGTCTTCCTGCCCGACAAGGTGAGCAGCTACTTCTGATGAGTCCTTTTCTTTGTTTAGTGATAAGCGTCCAACTCTGTTAATAGCTTACAGGTGATAGCGTTCACTCCCAATCCCAGCGAGGCCGTCTGAGAAACAAGATTGGAAACAGAACACGGACCGGAAAAGGGGCCCGTGGGGGCGGAGCTCCTCCCCTCGGGGTGCCGGCCGCAGCCCCCCTCCCGGGCACCAGTCCTGAGCTTTCGTTTGCGAACTCTGTCCTGAAGTGTGCGTCCCTCCCTCTTCCTGCCGCCTCACCTCCGGGTTAACTGTGGTTGTACCTTCTTATTCCAAATCGGTGTCTGTGACTGCTGTAACACTGCTGTAAACTCGATCGAGGAAACCTAATCTGCATGTGGGCTCCTCGGTTACCGAGTTCCTGTGCCCCTATCTCAGTCCCGGGGGGGAGGAGGCTGAGGAGAGAGCCACCCAGACAAAGCCAGGGCGTTTTCCCCAATCTTTTCCCCGCAGCTTCCTTCTTCACGTGGTGCGTCTTTAACCTGCGCCCCTTGTTTTACCCCAAGGACCAAAGCCGAGCTGGCCTGAGATGTGAGTGCGTTTGTGTCAGGAGGCCGCTGGTGACGGTAGGAAAGTGCATTTCGTGGTTCGTCGGGAGCTGTAACTGCAGCGAGGGCATGTGCCCCACATGGCTGTGTGCCGTGAGGGGTCTTTTCATTTCAGAGAGAAAATGGGGCAGCAGCTCTGGAAATGAGTCTGCTTTTGAGACTCTGGAAAGTCGGGGCAAGGCTAGCTTGTTGCTTGGGCGCTGGGCCGGTGCAAAGAGCAGCTCAGACTGACCCCAGCTGGGGAGCAACCAGGAGCCCCTGGTTCCCATCTGAGACTGAGTGGGCCCTGCCACGCGAAGCTTCAGTAACTTGGAAGAAAAGTCATCTGGGAGTCCTTTGGACGGCTTAGCTAGTATTTAGAGGAAGGACGCACTGGTGACTTTAAGGGCTATGACATCTCGCAGTCCCAAAGCGCAGCAGCTCCGCAAGGTAGTGGAAGGATGGTTTCCTCCCACGGTTTTGGCAAATTCCCGAGGGACTTGGGTGGTTAAGAGGTACCCTTGCCTTATTCTCATTTTCTTACTTTCTTTAGCTCCCTTTCCTTTCAAAATTGTTAACTGTCTCGTGTCCCAGTAGGAAATGTGTTCTCTTCCCCCATCCTTTGCCCTGCCAGGAAGTCAGTGTGATATCTTTTTGGGCTTCCCCTCCAAAGGACCCCTCGCTGCACTGGAAGCTTCCACACCCAGCTCTTTTGTTACTGCTGTGCTCGGATAATTGGACAGATCATTGTGCCATGCAGGAATTTTTTCTTTTTTTCTTTTTTTTTTAAGAAAAACCTATAGATGAAAAATTACTAATGAAACTGTGTGTGAATGTACGTGCGCACAACATACAAATACAGTAGCACCCAAGGAGCTTCGATCTTGGTTCCTGTAAAACTGCAAATTGATGTGGTCTTAATAAAAAAACAAAACCATGACGGTGGTGTCGTTCTGCTAACTTTATTCTTTATACACAGTTTGGGTTATGAAACCAAACAAGGCTTCCAGCCCCCCACCCCACTCAGGAAGCTTTAAAAAGCTATTAACAGTTGATACTGTAAGGATTCCCAAGATTGCTGGGGTCCAGAGTAGAGCAAAGCTGTGCATTTGGTTTCTGAAAGAAAGTTGGAACCCCTCTAGGTGACTTTAGGAGAAGGGTGATGAGTGGCTGGGACCTGAGGGTGCTGGTAGCCCCACATCAGCCTGGGACGCTCCCGTGCAACGTGGGGCAGCAGCCTGTCAGTCCCACAGCTGCAGTGCAGGCACCTGAGTCACCTCTTGGCTGAAAGAACTTGTCACCTCTGCTTTGCTCTTCCCGAAAACTAAGGCTGCTGTGACCCTTCACCTGGGTTTTAAAAATTGATTCAACATCCCTCTTAGAAAACAGGCTGAAACTTCAAAAAAAAAAAAAAAAAAAAGACTGATGCAGACAACTTCACAAATATGCTACAGATGTTCAGGTAATGTCACTAAGTAACGTGGTATATAAATATGTCTTCGGAGTAACATTTACATATGGGCCGTAATAGCAAGCACACCATTAGAAACCATCAGGAGCGTCACCTGTTCTGTCAGGCCACCCAGGCAGGAGGGCAGTACGCCTGGCACCTGGCGGGGAGGGTCGCCTAGCCCAGCCCGGCCCCCCGAGGCCGCGGCTTGGGTCCGAGTGGCGCCTGATTGATCACTGGTGCTCAGAACTGCAGAGCACAGCACATTGGCCCGAGGGCTCGCTGGCACACTGGGGGGCCCGACGCGTTTCTGGGTCGAGGGCTGGGGCCCGAGAATTGGTATTGCTCAGGCAACACTTGGTCTGGGCCGCTGGAGCGCGCGGGGCTGCCCCGTGACGGCGTCCGCTCTGCTCGGGTCTCTGCCTGCCTACGGGGAAGAGCAGCACCGTTCCCAGTGTGCCTTCTGCCTGGCGTACCTGAGCCTCGGCGGCGGGCGCAGGTGACCCGCACAGGGTGCCCCCATTGCCTACTGTGTTGGACCTGGCAGAGGAGCAAGAGCGGTGTCCTGCCGCAACTAAAAGCATCGCGCATGGAGGAACGGAAAAGAGTGGTGGCGCCCGTCATCCCAGTCCGCAAGCTTCTCATACTGTCTGGGACACCCTGGAGGTCCACGCTGGGGAGTCAGGTCTACCTGAGCCCTACGAAGGACACAACTGGAGGCCGGGCCGGCGGCCGCAGCCCCACCCACCGCGTTGGGCCGGCACCTCCCAGCTGTGGCCTCTGGGGCTCCGCAAACCCATTCCAGGAGCTGGGCAGCTCTGCGGGCCTGCGGCACCCAGTTACCCTTTGGCCTAACGGTAAGCATCTGGACCAAGCAGAGAACAGGAGGCGGCGTGGCCCAAAGGAGAGAACTCGGAGCTGGGAGTTGGTGTTTTTATTCTCGAATAACTCCCTTCTCTGGGCTGCGTTTTACTTGAGGACGCGGGGTGCCGGCTGACTGTCAGGGTCCCTTCCAACCCCGCCAATCTCGGATTATATAAAGGGATAGAAAATCCATGGTATAAAAATCCTACTCCAATCAGAAGAGGGCCTGAGGCTCTGCGCTGGGGATGGAGCTGGGGTCACCCTCTGCCGGCCACTCGCCCTCCACACCCAGCCCTCACGTCCCACCAGCTGGCTGACTCCACTCCGAAGCAAGGGAACCGGCGTGCGCCGCAGACCAGCCTGCGGAGTCGCACCGTGGGAGGCGTCTGGGGCCCTGCACCCCCTGCCACTCGGCCTCTGTCCTTCCTCAGCCACCTCACAGCTTATCTCTGATACACGCATAATAAATAAGACATTTGCACATCGGGGTGATTGGGACAGCTCTCTCCCCGCCCCGACCCCTTTCATATAAAAGCATTAAATACAGTTTCAAAATAAAATACAAACAGCAAAAAGGGCCGAATGTCGGGGCCACCTGTTCTCCACAGGAGAACGAAACTACGCATCCCTCGGACCTGCCTGGGAGGCCGCGGGGGACAAAGGCAGGCCGAGCCCGGCCCGAGGCCCTGCGGACTGAGAACGGGTGGCGCGTCCGCCGCGAACAAAGGGGACAGAGGGGGCGGGAACACGACGCTAAGTGCCGGGACCGCCAGTGCCCCGGGCTCCGACCGACCGTGACGCCCGACGCCGAGCTTGGGGGTAAAGGCAGCCCTCCTAGCAGGAGAGAAGCGAAGGGCGCGGTGGGGCCCGCGGGCGCCGGGAGTGCGCCCGCCCCGCCGCGGGCTCCGCAGTCCCGGCCTCGGCGCAGCCGAGACACCGCTCGGGACCAGGCGGCCCACAGCGCCGCCTAGCGCGGGGCCAGCCGGCGGGCAACGCTGCAGGATCGGGGACCGGCGGCGCGGCCTTCCCGCTCTCCCCCGGGCCCTAATACTGACTGACGGGGGCCCGGACCTGGCAGGGGACCCGGGCTCGCCCCGTGGGTGGGCTGGCAGCGCCCGGTGCTAACACTGGAGGCCGCTTTGGCTTCTCAGAAACGTGGAGACCCGGCCCGGGGAGGCCCAGACCCCGGGCCAGAGGGGACCGTGCGGCGCGGCCCACTCGCTCCGGGCCGCCTGCTCGCTCCGCCCGGCCCGGCCAGCGGGGGGCGGCAGCAGCGCGCGCCCTGGGTCTTCCGGCTCTTGCCCGGGGCGGCGTCACCCTGCTGACCTGGCCCGGCGAGTCCGCTACGCCCGGCACACGGCGCCCGGCTTGAGGTCGGCGCCGCTGTCGCGCGGCGCGGGGGCGGGCGGCCCGAAGCCCTCGTGGCCGTAGCAGCGCAGCGCCGCCTCCTCGTAGGCCTCCAGAATGGTCTGGCGCTCCTCGGGCGTGAAGTCCATGGAGAAGGGGTGCACCTGCAGGATGTGCCGCTTGATGGTGCTCACCTTGAGCGTGGCCAGCGCGCCGCCGCACACCATGCACACCAGGCCGCGCCGGCTGCCGTCGTAGTCCATCAGGTACTCGCCCCGCCAGCGCGGCTGGTAGTTCCGCCGCTGCTCTCGGCTGCGGGGCGGCGGCG